CGATAGAATCGTTCCACAATTATTAAAATGCTTCTTTGATATCTGTGTTGACTCATACTCGGTTAATGTGTACATTAATTTTTTATCTAAGTAAAGAATCAATGTGTACATATCATGTTTGTTTAGCGGAAAAAGGAGAGGTTTGACGAATACATTTTTGTAGCGTCAAGTGCCTTTTGTTATCGTGTGCGTGAAATAATGATTGCTTTCCGGTGAAAAAGTGACTTGCTTCACAAATCAAGTTAAGTAATTAACTCTTTGGGATTAGGTGGGTTCAGAACTGTATTACCTTTGCTCAGCCTTGTATGAAAAGTGGAATATACTTTAATTTTCTTCAAATTGATGTTCTTTCTATGTTAAATAGTTTATACGAATATTTTATCGTATCACATGTGACGCACCGGTGCGTCACGCTGACAACACTTATTTTTAATACTCTCAAATTTTGGATATCTAAAACTACTATTTGCTCAATTATTTGTAGAGGACTGTATACCAAATTGACGTAATATTTCAACTTCCTTTTAATACCGTAGTTGAGATTAATTTGACGCAACCTTGACGCACTCATGACGCACCCTTGACATAGCTGAGATTAACTTTGTGTCATCTCCGCATGTGACGCACCCTTGACGCACTCGTGATGCAAACGTAATATAGCAGTAATGAACTCATGACGCAATCTTGACGCACTCAAGTTGCAATTATTTTGCCAATTTTTTTCTAATATAAAGAATTCGTTTCAACTTTCTTTCAATACTATAGCTAAGATTAACTCCGTGTCATCTCCACATGTGACGCACCGGTGCGTCACGCTGACAAGTCCCACTTATTTTTAATACACCGAAATTTTCAATACCTCAAGTTTGCTCGATTATAATCCGCACAGTCGCATAATATCGAATCGACGTTTCAACATTCTTTGTCCGATGCAGTGATTAGTTCGGCAGCCGAGAAATCGGTGCACGGTAAAAATCAGAAGTTACCGAACAGTAAGAATTAATAAGAAGTAACGCGTTGAGTAGAAGATCGAATAATTAATAAGAATATCCTAGAACCTCCTAAGAAATCGAAAGAAGCTGGGAAGAAAGGAGTACACGCATCTCGGGATGCCTATAGAAACACTGGGGCATAAGTCGGCTTGAAAAACCTGCTCTACACAATTTCGAAGCGATAAATCGAATAATCTGTCGAAAGATCGCGAAGTAATAGTTAATAATTTGAAAGAGAAGATCATTTCGGAAATTTCCTGCGCCGCGTTTTACATCCGCCACACGCATTTGTACCTTGACGGAGCACCTTGCGCACGAGTCGCACTCACCTCGTCGATTTTACTCGAATTTTTCATGCTATTTGGAGATCAAGCCCTATAATTTGCGTGGTCAACCGGATTGATATAACATTTCAAGTTTATTTGTTTCCTTTAATATTGTACTCCGGTTAGCACACAACAAATAAATCATAAGGCAAAGAAAAACAATAAGGGAAGAGGTTTTTTCCAACGTACTCGTAACCCCGTGGGCAACGAGTTGCCCCGCTTTTCTTGGCGTGCATCGCATCGATGACGATTCCAGGGACGAGGAACACCGATGCTCGACGAGAACAAAGGGCGAGCTCGTCGATGCGCGAACATTTTTATTAACGCTCGAATTCATCCACGGAACAAAGGACACGTGGAAGGAATGTTCGCGGAAACGCGTTCGAAAATGCTTATTTTATCCTGTGTAATAGTTGAACTTCCAAGGGTCAAGGTTGGTGACAGACTATCATTCTTGGAACCTTCAGATACGCTCCTTTATTTTACTTTGTTTTGGATATACTCGAAGAGTTTTGAAGAGATATTCAATTTGAAAATGTGCAAGATGAAATTTTTCACATAATGACATGTTGAAATTTCTGGGAATATTCGGTCACTAAACTTGTCTAACCCTCTTACTTATTCCTTATAATTCTATTTTGATGCTTGTATGCAGAGAACTGTGTCTCGATATAAGTGAACAATTATTTATCTCTATATAAGTGAAAACGATCGTTTATCTATTACGGTAAGTAGTATTGACTTTAAAACAATCAGTAGCCTTTAATTCTTTACTGACACTTTCATGCAAAGAGCAGTGTCTCGATACAAGTGAAAATTACCATTTGCCTCTTATCGTAAGTAACACCAGTTATCAGGTACGAGTGCGACTCGTTATCGTAAAACATCCGGTAGCTTTTAATTCCTCCCTGCAATTTCTATGCAAAGACCACTGCCTCGATATAAGCGAAAACGATGTATCTCTTATCGCAAGATACCTCTTTGAAGTACCGGAGATACGGAATCTATGGAATTCTATTAGACGCGCTTCTTTCGACTGTTTAAAAGTGAAAGGAAATCGCCGATGCGACGTTACATACGTCCTGCTATTGTCATCGGCTATTTATACGAGCAAACGGAATTATTTCTATCGTTTACGAGAATGACGCGAGTACTATCGCTATAAAACGTGACCTACGCGATCAATCTCTGGAATTCGATGATTAGTTTCCTCGTATCCTCGGCAGCGATATTAATTGGACAGTAAGTGCTTCAACAAATCAATTTCACTTACTGAGCTTCTTGTTTCTTTGTTTTTCACATTTTTACCTTTTCTTATCAGATTTTAATTTCTTACATTTTTTTTAGATTTTTTAATATTTAGGATTTTAGATTTTTTAAGTTGGCACTAAATTTTGTAATTTTTTAATTTTATTGTTTAAAATTTTCAAGCTTCCCTAACTTCGATTTGATATTTTTAATATTCTCAAGTTTTTTTATTTTCAAATTGTAAATTTTATAGTTACTCATTTTTTAAATGAGCAATTTTCCAATTGTCTCAAGCTACCAATTTTCCAATTTGTCAAGCTGTCAATTTTCCACTTCCTATTTCACAATTCATCATCTTCTTAATTTCCCAATTTCTCAACCTACTAATTTCCCAGTTCCTTCTAAATTTATCAAATTTCCAATGTTAAATTCCTGAAGTCACAAATTTTCATTTTTTAAATAACCACTATTGCACTCATACAAATTTCCCAACTTCAATTTTCAAATTTCCCGCCTAATCAATTACCCGCCCTATACAACATCACCTTCCCTATTCCCTCTCAATTTCCCAACTTCCAATTTCCAATTTTCCAGTTACCCAATTCCCAACCGAAGCATCAAATTCCAGCCCGGAACAGTCCTCCGGGAATCTAATCGACTCCGTCTTTTCGAATTAGCGACACGACATCGATGGAGTTGGACGACCCACGCACGAACATCCGCATAATTTCGTGCGCGTTCATCGTCGGCGAGTCGGCGCGGCGTGCTTTAGATGGACACGCTCGATAGAGACGTAACAGGTGTGGACGGGACGAACCGAGTTCGTGGCACACGTCCGTTACCCTGGGACTTTTCGAGAACCGGACACGATCTCTATTTCTCTATCCCCTTTTTTTTCCTCGAATGCGTGGAACAAATATACCGTTTGACACCTGGAGACCGTAGGCCGTACAATGGCGAGCTCCCACTTTGTCCGCGGGAATAATAAGGTTCCCGGTGCGGAAGGGATTCGGCAAATCGGCCGGTTAGCCCCTCCGTCGACGTTTCCGAGAAGCGTTTCTTTGTTCGGCTGTCGCGGGTTACCGAGGGACAGTCGAACCGTCTCAAACTGCGACCCCCTACGGCGATTTCCATCTCGCGCTTCTAGATTTATCGCGGAATAAACAAGGCTTTCGTGGAAACGTTATTACCCTTCGGCTTTCTTCGTTTTTACGAATATCGCCGAACAATCGGCTCGTTTGCCACGCTTCGACGACCGACGCTTTTCTCGGAAACCTGTTACGCTCTCCGATGCGACGGAACACGATTTCGAGACACGAATTTCGATGTAGAGCGCGGCCGGTTTCCTTCCCGATATCGAAATGACACGAAAACGTCCGAAGCGTGAGTCAGGTTGAAATATGCGCGCAAAAACATGGGAAATTCCTAGCTGACGCATCGTAAAATTGCAACTGTCACTCAGTGGTTATCGATAATATCGTTATGGGGTCGTAAGAAATCTATCGATACGTATCGATAACGGTATCGCTAGCGATAGGCCTGGTCCGCCGCGTCGGCGAGACGACG